GCACTGAAGACTCTGACTATCTTAAGTAGGACTACATTGCAATGCATTCTGGGTAAAATAAGACACTTTTCAAAACAAAAAACATGGCGGATCGAGAAAGCGCATTCAACCACTCAGTGCAGTTTACCCCTGAGGAAAATGTGTTTGTTGGAGGAGTATAACAGTTACAAGGACATTTTACTTGGGAAATTCGACCGTTGAGCGGAGCGTTAAAGACGTACAGAAAAGATACAAAAACATAGTACAAAATGCCAAAAAAAAGAGTATTTAAGAGGAAATATCCAAAAACGGGAGGAGGACCCCAAGAGAAACTTAAAGACACTGAAATGGTGATGAATATGGTGGACAGTCGCCACGATTTCCACGACGCATGCGCGAGAATTGCGATCTCCTTCAACTACTTCGGTTCAGTTCTTGCGAATGCGTCGTGGAAATCGTATTGAAGTCTCGTTTCAGGCCAACAAGGAAGAAAAGGAATAGTCGAATAAAGTCGTTATTTTTGTTTGTTTTTTTGCACAAAAAGTATTCTCGTCGCTTGATAAACATATAGTTGAGCCACGGTAGTCACATGGGATATTTAAACATTTTCTTCATTGACTTTCTGGGCCGTCAAGAGTCATTCCCTTAGGAGCCAATGTGGTAGTTATACAGCTCTCAAATTTTATCAAAAATATCTTCATTTGTGTTCCGAAGACGAACGAAGGTCTTACGGGGTTGGTACAGCATGGGGGTGAGTAATTAATGACTTAATTTTCATTTTTGGGTGAACTAACCCTTTAAAGTGATAATTCACCCAAAAATTAACATTATGTCAGTAATTAATTTTAAATCATTACATTTATATAGTGCTTTTCTCTGCACTCAAAGCACTTTACATTGAAGGGGGAATCTCCTCAACCACCACCAACATGCAGCATCACCTGGATGATGCGACGGCAGCCATATTGCGCCAGAACGCCCACCAAACACCAGCTTACTGGTGGACAGGAGACAGTGATGAAGCCAATCAGTGTATGTGGATGAATAGTTGGCCATGATGGACAGAGTCCAGTGGGCTAATTTGGCCAGGATGCCGGGGTTACACCCCTACTCTTTTTCTAAAAACATCCTGGGATTTTTAATGACCACAGAGAGTCAGGACCTCGGTTTAACGTCTCATCCTGAGGACGGCTTACCATTTTTTTACTCAACCTCAAGTTGTTCCAACCCCGTAAGGCTTTCGTATATCTTCAGCAAGGCGAGCATTTGTGCTTATAAAACTTAAAATTTGTTATTTATTTATTAAATGAGCGATCGTTTCGCTTGATAAGACCCTTATTCATCGTCTGGAATCGTTTAAAGCCCTTTGAACAGTTTGCACTGAAACTGTCTTTTGGACCTTGAACCGTTTAGTTTCCATTGAAGTCCATTATATGGAGAAAATACCTGGAATGTTTTCATCAAAAACCTTAATTTCTTTTCGACTGAAGAATGAAAGACATGGACATATTGGATGACATGGGGTTGAGTAAATTATCTGCAAACGTTTTTTAAAAGTGAACTACTCCTTTAATGTAGGCTTGTTTCATTAGTAGGGCTTTTTATACCCGTTGTTGAGCAGTTAATGTTTTTTTTTTCTTTTCTTATTTACTGTGAACTCAGGCTGCCATATAGTTTGGAAATTGCATTGATTACAGGGAAGGTATTCCCTTTTTCCCCACTTTGTAAAATCCTGAAATGAAGAAGCAAATATGCCCATAAATCAAATGAAATGCCCACAAATCAACAGCTACTTCAACATACCTGATTGTTCATGTTTTGCCATGCTGTGACAATATAATGTTGAGTTGAATTTTCCAGGTTTCTCCACAAGATGGCAGAGTTTACAAAGCAAAATATCATACATGCATACAACAAAAACCTAGATACAAGACAATAAAAAATCCATTGTTTCACTCAATGCCGATCTTTATAATGACTGAGGCTTTAAATGGCTTTAAAGAGCTAATAAAAGATTTATTACAACATTTTATTAATTATAATTTATACATAACTTTCACGAGTTACAAGTTGACCGCAAACACAATAATTATCACATCCTTTATCCAAAGTGGACCCAGTAAATAAGAACAAACCCCCCCCCATTGTAAAGCTGCCATTTCCTGGCTGAAAATCTAAGAGTAACAAGATGTTCGACGGCAACAACCCAACAGAGACATGGTTGAAAAACATTGGTCTAATTCTCTTAGAGAATTCAGTCATGCATGTAAGCACGCAACAACTGTCATACAAATGTACCTTATAAACAAAAATCAAGTTATTTAAAAGCAAAACAGGATGCTTGTAGAACTACACAGTAGTAAGCCAATAGATTTAAAGAGAGAAGAGGACACAAAGTGATAATAATAAGTTCATCTATTCCTTAGTAATTGTCACTAAGCATAACTTTTTGACCTTAAAGACTAGAGAGTTTTATATCTGTCATTGTTTCTTTTGAAGAGCAGCTCCAGTTTATTTTCAGTTGACAGAATTGCTTAACGGTTGGAAAATAAAGCCTTAGTTCTTAGTTAAATGTTTGATCAGGTGGTTTTTAAAATCGTGTTGTCATGATCCCAAGACTACGGAGGCGTATTGCATTCACTTGAAGAAAAAAATCTACTCTGTTTTTCTGAATTAATGAGTTAATTTTTCATGAGAAAAAATGTTTTGCTCTGTTTTTCTGAATTAATGAGTTAATTTTTCATGAGAAAAAAAGTTTTTGCTCTGTTTTTCTGAATTAACGAGTTAATTTTTCATGAGAAAAAAAAATTGCTCTGTTTTTCTGAATTAATGAGTTAGTTTTTCTTGAGAAAAAAAGTTTTTGCTCTGTTTTTCTGAATTAATGAGTTAATTTTTCATGAGAAAATTTATTTTTGCTGTTTTTCTGAATTAACTCATTAATTCAGAAAAACAGAGCAAAAAAAAAAAATCCATTAAAAATTAACTCATTAATTCAGAAAAACAGAGCAAAACAAAAAAAAAAATTCCATTAAAAATTAACTCGTTAATTCAGAAAAACAGAGCAGATTTTTTTTCTTCAAGTGAATGCAATACGCCTCCGTACAAGACAAACCTAGTGCCAGTAGAGATCACTTACAATGATTTCATCATAACGGCATATACAGTGCTTCCTTAATTACACTGTAATCAGAAAGACAACTAAAGTGAACAAACTAATGACTTTTCTCAATGTGTGCCACAAATACAAATGTCAGCGGGAAAGAAATCTTACAAAAAGCATAAAGTTTCTTATCAAAATAAGTGCATGGGAAGCTTTCAGCAAAGTCTACGTCACTAAATTCCCCTAATTAAATTTTAATTGCAAAAGAAACTTGTAATTTTAATGAGAAATGAGTAACCTGCATTGTGAATAATGCTGTCCTACAATCACTGGCCAGGGAACATCTTCCCAATGACTTCCTTTAACATGCCAAAAACATCTAAAATAAAATTCACACAACGACACGTCACTATTTCTAGAAGACGGACAATCAGTTTAAGATTTGATTTAAAGCTACAGCTAAAACCTGCTGGAACCGCTTAAACAACGAGCATTTAAAAAACTCCACTCTCCTTATGTGCAAAATATAAAAGGCAAAGAAATGAAAGTGGCCAGTTCCTCCAGCTTCACGCCTCTGATAGTGCTTCAGTAAGTCTATTTCCTATAGTTAGCCACGTTTCCACCGAAATTATCTGGAATAATTTGCCCAGGAACTTTTTCCCCCTGACCCGTTGCTGTCTATGTCTCCACCGTGGTTACAGTAACGTGAAGATTAGGCAATGTGCGCTACTTTACAGTTACTTTACTGAATTTAAAGGGATACTAAGCTTTGTATTAGTAGGAAACCTGTAGTATTTGCCGTGCTTTCCACCCTCAAATCCCCATGAGACGAGAGATTTATTTAATTTTTGTCTGGAAAAAATCCTTCGATCATCCAAAAATCGCCATTTTGCGTCATCGGAGGATGTTGTCCAGAGGCCCTAACTCTCGTCCCACTCGCCACAGTAAACATGACTCGCGTAAACGGTAGGCGTGGCCTCCTAGCGCAGCGAAACATTTTCTGTTTTTTCTCAGTCTAGAAAGCTCCAAATTCAAAACTAATTTGACATTTCTTTTACATAAATGAGCCATTTTAAATACACATTAATTTTTCCAGAGGTGAAGTATCCCTTTAAAGGAGAACTCCGGCGAACAATGAACCTTTGGTCTAATAAAACATCGGTACATAGTCAATCGTTCTCTGAGTTTTGTTTTCATGATAATCGAATGTAAAGAGTTTTATCTCTAAAAACTGTTTAGCGTATAACGCTAGTACTGGGGGGATTGACTAAGTAAAAAGAAATCGCTAGTTTATACCACTAACAAGGCTCAAAATAGCCCCACACTAACGCAGTAACATAATGAGGGTCCATACATGCAAAACGAAGCATTGGGAACTTTGTAAGTGTACAGACCGTTTAATAAGAAGATACTTTATGAAGACAGTCCACTTCGTGTATACAGGCAGGAGCCATCTTTGAAAAACAGACTCGACAAGTCAAACCACGAACGCCGTTCATACAGTTCAGAAGTTTGCTGAACTTCATACAGCTCACCTCACTTGGCAAGTTGGCACGTCGTTCATGGTTCGACTTGTCGAGTCTGTTTTTCAAAGATGGCTCCTGCCTGTATACACGAAGTGGACTGTCTTCATAAAGTATCTTCTTATTAAACGGTCTGTACACTTACAAAGTTCTCAATGCTTCGTTTTGCATGTAGGGAGCCTCATTATGTTACTGCGTTAGTGTGGGGCTATTTTGAGCCTTGTTAGTGGTATAAACTAGCCATTTCTTTTTACTTAGTCAATGCCCCCAGTACTAGCATTATATGCTAAACAGTTTTTAGAGATAAAACACTTTACATTCGATTATCATGAAAACAAAACTCAGAGAACGGTTGACTATGTACCGATGTTTTATTAGACCAAAGGTTCATTGTTCGCTGGAGTTCTCCTTTAAGCTTAATAAAGCCTGAGACTCGTCGTCGGTCCATCGGTTGTATTTTTTAAACTCCATTGTTGACTCGAATAGTAAATAACTGTGACTGTTTTGTTACTGGTGGATGAAACAAAATGCTGCATGGAGTCAACCAATCAAAATGCGGCATGAACTCGACCAATCAGCATGTCCAGCACCCAAGTCCCACCCCTGAAAGTTCCTGAACTCACAAGCAGGGACTTTCGGACGGGGACCACTCCCGTTTTTCCCGGGTTTCTCCCGTTTTTTTAGCCCTATATCCCGGACCCCTCTCAGTATGTTATTTCTCCCGGGAAACTCCGTAATTTGCATGGCCCTAACTCCTTTATGAATAATCGGACCAATATGTTTCTCTAATGTTGACCAGTTGCCTGATCTTTCAACCTGGCAACCTAACCAAGTGTTGACAAGGGACACTTCATTTAGACCCTGGTTCCTGCGGTGGAAACACACCGAGTACCAGCCCAAAGTCCCTTGTTCCTGGGGAAACTTCCTGCAGTGGAAACGCGGATTATGTATGCGGACACATTTTGGGCTGTCGTGAATCATTCCGACTTGATCCTTCCAACACAATCTGCGTTTAACTTAAATACGCCACACATGAAAAAACAAACAAACATAAAACAATCAGTACAGTTTTCTGCATAGCCTCCCAAGGGCTTTCCCAACTACTGTACTCACTCTTTGTAAATATGAAACTAAAGCGGTCAATTCTTCTAACTTTATGCCTCTGGTAGTGCTTCAGTAAGTCCATTTCCTTTCACTATGAACCCGGACACATTTGGGCTATCGTGATATCTTGATCCTTCCAAGACACTTTACGTTTAACTCAATAAATACACCAAAGAAAACAAAACAAACAACAATAACCAGTTGAGTTCCTGCATAGCCTCCCAAGGGCTTTCCGTACTCACTCTTTGTAAAAATGCGCTGGATTGAAAAGAGCTGAAATGAAAACAGAGGCTCATTTCAACATGGCTGCCAGGACTGAAGTGAGCGAGCGGAGGCCTGATCAGCTCCCAGAAGACTGTGCGTGTGAGGAAGACTCCTCCTCCTCCTCCTCGTCCTCGTCCTCCTCTGTGCTGTGTTCTGCTGGCGGGCCCAGGGCGGGTCCGGGTCCCAGGGCCGTGCTCGAGCTGATGCCGTTGGATGTGCTGATGGAGCTGTGCTGGATGGCCTCGTTCTGAGGGCTGCTGGGAACAGACATCTCCCCGCCGCTGTCCTCCTTCTCCAGCTCTGAGACACACACACACACACACATCAGAGACTGAGACTCCAACGACACCGGCATCAGCAGCTTCTGAACGCTTCACACACACTGCAGCTCTTTATGTTATTGTTTGTTAAAATAGTGTTTGCTAATTATGTGTGTGTGTGTGTGTGTGGGGGGGGGGTCATACTAATAATAATGCTGTGTGTATATATCATGCACAGTATGTAAATGTTTCACAGAATTCCCAGATGACCAAATACATTTGCAGTTACACAACCAGAGCAAAGTGTCCCACAATGCAAAGTGCTTGACTTGACCTGCCAGTATGATGAATGAACCAGATGTGACAAAGAAGATTATATAATATATATATATATATATATATATATATATATATATATACATACAAAAAAAGACACACACACACACATATATATATATATATAAATGAAAAATACAGTAAAACGGCTCTCTATTTGAATATATTTTAAAATGTAAATAACTAAATACTTAAAAGTAATGTTACAATATTGCATTACTCTCTAAAAAGTAACTAATAGCGTCACTTAGTGACTTTTTATAGAAAGTAAAGTGTTGTTACTTTTGCATACATTTTTCTTATCTAAGCTGGGCTTGCTTGTTTGTTTTTTAATAACAAAAAAAAGTCATTCTTTGCTAGGGCCGTCAAACGATTCATCGCGATTTATCGCACCCAAAATAAAAATTTGTGTTTACATAATATATGTGGGTGCACTGTGTATAATTATTTTACATATAAATAAATACACACACATGCATGTATATTTAAGAAAAAAATATGATTTATATATAAAATATTTATATTTATACGTAATATAAATGATATATAAATCTATATACATTATATACATTAACATATTTACAAGGATGTGTGTGTATATATATATATATATATATATATATAAATAATTATACAGAGTGCATCCACATACATCATGTAAACACAAACTTTTATTTTGGACAGCTTTTATTTTTTTCTCATATTTTTGACAGCCCTAATTTTTGGCAGATGTGAAAATCTTTTCGCTCCAAAATAGAAATGAATAAATTCAGGCCTGTACAGTAGAGGGCGCCGCTCAAACCTTTCAACTGTTCTGCCAGTCTGGATCACAGAAGAATCGGACTCAGGAGACGACAGTTCAACACTCTCCCTTCAGCATTAAAAAACCCCCCCAAAAAAACAAATGTGACGTTTATCTAAAGTCATTTGGCTTATTAGATCGAAGGTCAGCAGCAAAGACATTGATAATTAAAGCTGCAAGCAGCGATGGGCGGGCCCTCGCACCTGTAGCACGTCGGGGTCTGAGGCGGCCGCGTTTCATTTTCTGCAGCTCAGCCAGTGCGGCTGTGCATTTGCCACACTGCTTCGTTAAAGGCCACTTCCTGTTGCCAGCAGGTGGCGCTATGACTGTGGGTGAATGTCGGCATGTAGATTTGATCAGGGCGGGACTCTTGTCAAATGTGTCAAATTTCGTGCAGATCTGGGCATTTACAGCCAAGTTACTACAACTTCCTGTTTCATGGCGAATCATCGACGCCACGGACACGCCCATCGACGAAAACGCGCAGATAGCACAACTTTTCATCGTCAATGCCTTTAGAAGGCACAGCAGAAATTTGAAGGCGATCCGACTAAAGCCCTAGGAGGAGTTAGTTAAAGTACGTAATGAGTAAATCATCCAAAAATGGCGGTAAAATTAGAAATGGCTGACTTCCTGTCGAGTTTAGGGTATGGGTTCTTGAGGCTTTTTTGTACGTATGGTCATGGTAGATGTACCACAGAAATTTCGTACATGTCGGTCAAACAAGCGGCGGGGGCTGCTTCGTTAAATGTCACTTCCTGTTGCCAGCAGGTGGCGCTATGACTGTGGGTGAATGTCGGCATGTAGATTTGTTCAGGGTGGGACTCTTGTAAAATGTGTCAAATTTCGTGCAGATCTGGGCATTTACAGCCAAGTTACTACAACTTCCTGTTTCATGGCGAATCATCGACGCCACGGACACGCCCATCGACGAAAACGCGCAGATAGCACAACTTTACATCGTCAATGCCTTTAGAAGGTACAGCAGAAATTTTAAGTTGATCCGACTAAATCCCTAGGAGGAGTTCGTTAAAGTACGGAGTGTGTAAATCGTCCCAAATCGGTCGCCGAATTCAAAATGGCGGACTTCCTGTCGAGTTTAGGTTATGGGTTCTTGAGGCTTTTTTGTGCGTCTGGTCATGGTAGATGTACCACAGAAATTTCGTACATGTCGGTCAAACAAGCGGCGGGGGCTGCTTCGTTAAAGGACACTTCCTGTTGCCAGCAGGTGGCGCTATGACTGTGGGTGAATGTCGGCATGTAGATTTGTTCAGGGCGGGACTCTTGTCAAATGTGTAAAATTTCGTGCAGATCTGGGCATTTACAGCCAAGTTACTACAACTTCCTGTTTCATGGCGAATCTTCGACGCCACGGACACGCCCATCGACGAAAACGCGCAGATAGCACAACTTTACATCGTCAATGCCTTTAGAAGGCACAGCAGAAATTTTAAGTCGATCCGACTAAATCCCTAGGAGGAGTTAGTTAAAGTACGGAGTCTGTAAATCGTCCAAAAATGGCCGCCAAATTCAAAATGGCGGACCTCCTGTCGAGTTTAGGGTATGGGTTCTTGAGGCTTTTTTGTGCGTCTTGATATGATACACGTCCCCACCAAATTTCGTGCATGTAGGTTGAACGTGGACGAGGGGCTAATTTATTCCAATTTTCTAGGTGGCGCTAGCGTGCCATTTTGCCCCGCCCATCTGTGAAACCCACAAAATACGAAATTTTTCACCAGTCCTGACATGCGTGCCAAATTTGGTGAGTTTTTGAGCATGTTGCGGCCCCGAAAATGGCACTTACTTTGCAGAAAAAAAAAAAAAATAAATAAAAAAAAAAAATAATAATAATCCTAACAGTTTCAATAGGGTCCTCGCACTGTTAGTGCTCGGGCCCTAATAAAGTGAGATTAAATACATAAAGTGTATTTGTGTAATTCAACATTTAATTATTGCAGGTTTTATTAATATTCTGAGTTTCCATTTCAGTGTTTTTATTCATTTTGAGGAATACTGAATGTTTGTGTGCCACTGAGATGAGTAAATGCTCACATTTAGTCTAGATCTACAGTAATTATTTGTAAAAGTAACTCCAATATTTTGTTGTAACTTCAAACATAATGTATTACTTTACTAGTTACTTGAAAAAGTAATCTGATTACTTGTACTGGGTAACCAGTACAAGTAATCATTACTCATCATTACTCCAGTCTTCAGTGTCACATGATCCTTCAGAAATCACTCTAAAATGATGATTTGATGCTCAAGAAACATTTAATTTATTATCAATCAGTGTTGTAGTACTCGAGACTCGGACTCGGTCTCGAGACCATATTTTAATGGTCTTGGTCTTGTCATGGACTCGTGTGCATTTGGACTCGGAATTGACTCGTACTCGAACATTTTTTTTTTAGGACTCGGAATTATTCCCGAGTCCACTCGAGTTCAATTAAAAATATTTTTCATGATTATTAATGTACGTTAATAAAATATTTCTTTAAATTGATTGACATGCCCAGTGATTGGTGATTTTCTAGTGCGCAACTGCGCATGACAAATTGCAATAAATTACTTTTAACACCACCTACTATGTGGCCTTTTTACCCTAAACTGATCATATTTTTTAAACTCTAAGTAAATTCAGTAAAATAAAAAAAGGATTTCTCTAAGTAAATAAAAGTAAATTAGGTAATCAACCCTCACTGGTCTCGGTCTCGACTCGGACTCGACCGTCTCTGGTCTCGGACTCGACTCGGACTCGACACTCTATGGACTCGGTCTTGACTCGGACTCGACTCTCTCTGGTCTCGGTGTCGACTCGGACTCGAGTGAGGTGGTCTCGACTACAACACTGTTATCAATGTTGAAAACAGTTGTGCTGCTTCATATTTGTGTGGAAACAGTGATCATTTTTTGTTTTCAGTATTCTTTGAAATAGAAAGTTCAAAAGTTCATTTTGCAATCAAATGTCTTCACTGATCCGTTTAATGCATCCTTAACATAGTGGATTTTTAAAAAAAATATTTTTTCTTTCTTGTTAGTTGTACTTGACACTGATTTGATTCCCGAATTGTTACCTCTTGATTTTGATATGTCACTGAAAAAATCAATAAACAAATGTTTTTTTTTTTTTTTTTTTTTTTTTTTTTAAAAAACAATCTCCAGGATAACTAGAAAGCTGCAGGCCGGGAGTTTTACCAGGGTTCAAAATTGATCTAAAAGTTGATCTGAAATCGTAACAACCCTAGAGAGCAACAAATGTGTTCAACGTTTAAATAGGAAACAGAGACTTGTATTTCAAATGATTGATTGCACTGGCACGCGCCCACTGAAAGCACGATGCATCCGCTGCCTTATCCTCACCTGTTATTACCATGTGACTGGTCCCTCTTGAGCTATTGAGAATGAGGAGTCACGTGCCTATTTGGGCGGGGTCTGAGCCGGTCGGCCATGATGGTAGGAGACGCTATCGGTTACCAAGGGCAACGCCTTTAGAACCCATAGACGCGACTAAACATTCCAGAGCTCTTTAATTTTCGCGCATTTATTATTTTGGCAGGACAGAGACGGATCTAAGAATACGAGAAAAAAAGGAAGAAAGTAAAGCAATGCAAAAAGATAAGGCGAAAAAAAAAGGGACCTTAGAAGGAACATAGCAGCATCAATATATTTGTTCTTTTGCACTAATAACAGTATTATTATTTTATGATTATTTCTAATGTTGTCCATGAAACTTATGTTGTCCAAATATACATATATTTCAGTTCTCAATAAATATTGTTAAGCCATATCAAGTTGTTTCAAACATTTGTTTCGATGAAATAAAAAAGTAATGAACAAGGCACTCAAACAACACTTTTGCATATGTTTGTTAAGGCAAAGCAAACAGTGAAAATCATATA